ATGCGGAACGGACTTAAACAATCCGCATGCTAGCCCGACTCAAACGGTAGTCGGTAAAGGCTTATCAAACCCGTTGATGGCTGAGAATTTGCCAAAAATTCTATAAATACGAGTCATTAACGTATCAGCTTCATTAGTTGGTCTCATGACTTGAACATCCAACAAACTTCAGGATAAGATCCACACGTGCAGATGAATCAGCTTTAATAGTTGGTCCTGCAGCCCAACATTCGGGACCGCCACGCTCCAATGCCTTAAGAGCTTAAACTGTGTAGACTCCAGCAAACGTACGAATATAAACTGTGTTAACGCCGGTCAACGCGTTACAGTAAAGATCGATGCCGGTCAACGCATCAGCAATTTCGCCAAAATAAGGCAAAAGATGACTCCAAGGATTTCAGTTACAACCAGATATGAATTCCCGACGGAGAGGATCAGTTCAAAGTCAACTCAATGGCACGAGCTAAGTTTAGAAAGTTACACACCAATCTCAGTTCAAAATTTCGACAGTGGTCAGACGATAAACGCAGCGCCGGAAGAACTTTACCTATTCGACGAAACAATGAATAGATTGAAGACTGAAGAAGTTAGAATTGAGATAGTTCAAGGTCACTCTACCGAAATTGAGAGATGGCCTATCTATTTTCGGAGGGGCGATTGATTATCAAGACGAGGAGGTGCTGCCGGATTGTGGAGTCAAAGGAAGTTAGAATTGAGATAGTTCAAGGTCACTCTACGAAATTGAGGAGATGGCCTATCTTATCCAAAGCATTCCAGACTCCTCTATAAAAGAATGAGTCTGAAATACTTTGGAGGGGGTATCTGTAGGCGTCTAAAAATACCTATGGGTGTCCGTACACGACTCGAGACAGAGAGAAGATGATAAACATCGCTATTAGAGTCGCAGGAGCTCGTTTGACAATGACAAACACATGAAGTGAGTCGACGGGTCATACGAAGCAACGGAACTTCGGAATAACGGAAACGAGAGCTGATCGGGAGCCCCACGTCATTTACAAAAGGCGGAGCACCCCTCGTGTCCTATTTATTCCACATATGATTCAATTATGGGAGCCTGTAGATCTCCTCGTCGGCTTTCCAACGCATCTTGAATCGCCTCATTCCGAGGTCGGATGAGTGAGTTAAGGCTGTTACAGTACCCGTGGGTCGGAATTCTGCTACAGTAGTGTAGGCATCAAAAATTACCGATAAGTCCCCACGAACAGCTCAGTGTTAAGGAATGACGATGAACGTCACTACCCGGTTCACAAGAGTCTAATTGACGTCGGTGAGCGCCTGAAGCGAATCGATGAGCTATGCGATCCAACAGAATTTCAGAACAACGGGGATACGGATTGATCGGGAACCCCGCGACCGCTGCAAAAGAAGCAGCGCCCTTCGTGTCCCGTTCACCCCACTGATAATTCAACCATGGGGGCTGACAGAGCTCTTCGTCAGAATTCCAACGCATCCGAAATCAATTAAATCCGAGTTGGGACGACGAATCAACGGCAAACACACCCGGAAGAACCTCGGACTGAACTGAGGCACCCGGGGGTGTCTCGGCAAGCTCGAAACACCCGAGGGGTGTCTTGGCAAAACCAAGACACCCCAGGGGTGTCTCGGCCAGGCCGAGACACCC